TAATTGATGTATCATATATGTAATAATATTATATATTGACTTGTTTTCACACATGCTGGATATTAATTTATTTATTTTTCACATAAAAAAAAATATTATTACTATGATAGTTATTAACTTTCACACTAGATATTTTGGCCTATATAAAATAGGCTTGAGCAAGTTCTAAACACACCAAAGAAAAGTATAACAAATATTTTAGAGAAAGAGTTAGAGAATATAGAGAGAAACTTCAAGTGAGAGCATTTCTAGAGTAAGGGAGTTAGAGAAAATGATTTTATAGGGAGATAATTTTTATAATACTCCAGATTTTTTTAGTGGATTTCTAAGAGCTTTTCCTTTTGATTTTTCCCAGTTGTAAAATCTTTTGCGTCATTAGTATTTGTATGTTTTGTACTATTGATTTCTTTGCGGTTGAAATTACTGTAAAGAACCTTGACATACACCACTCCAAAAGCTAGCTCAAAGGGTGAGAGTGTCCAAGGCCTTGTAAAGGCCACATTAGTTGCCCACACAATCAATGTGGGACTATATATCTCAACACGCCCCCTCACGCAAGGGCCTTTAGGCTAGAAGCGTGAAAATTGCACAGGCCCAATTTTTGGTTTACCTTTTTTGCTTTTTATTTTAAATCCACTTTAAAGTGGGGAACGGTGAGGCTCTGATACCATGTAAAGAACCTTGAGATACACCACCCCAAAAGCTAGCTCAAAGGGTGGGAGTGCCCAAGGCCTTATAAAGGCCTCCCGCTTTAAAGTGGAATTAAAAATAAAAAGCACAATAAGGTAAATCAAAAATTGGGTCTGCGCATAATCCACGCTTCAAGCCCAGTGTGCTCTCGTGTGAGGGGACGTGTTGAGATATATAGTCTCACATTGGTTAGATGTGCAACTAATGTGACCTTTATAAGGCCTTGGGCACACTCGCCCTTTGAGCTAACTTTTGAGATGGTGTATCTCAAGGTTCTTTACAATTACAAATAAAGTTAATTTATTAATATATAGCGTTAATATCTAGGAAAGTGACTCAAAAGGCATGCATATGAAGTTCAATAATTATCCTTATATAATTTTTTGTTTATTATTCTTTTTGTTTGATTTACTTATGTTAAATGCAAAATAAGAGACAAATTTGTGATCGTACGTATCCTTATAATACTTGGCTCACGAAAAGAAGAAAATGAACTTAGCGTGCAAACGATGCATTACTAAACATCAAAGAAAAGAAAGTAATGTTAAAAGTTGCACTCATGGTATATCTTGGAGTTAAGAGAAGGATACTAATTGCAAAAGATAGCCAGATTCTGTTATCTTCTATCATTATTAATTAAAAATGATATATGCATGATAGATTGATAGGAAGGAAATTATACAATTCTTTTCCCCAAAAACTAAAAGAAAGAAAGAAACGAAATGAGTGAGAAATGAGAATATGTATCGCTGTACCTTGTAGTGAAGGAAGGGATATATACAGTGGAAAAAACAGAGAGAAAGTAAATCAAAGTCCAAAACTAAATTTTGGTCAAAAATCAATACAAAACAGATGTGACCGATAAAAAAAAAAAAAAAAAAATAGTCAAAATAAATAGATATATCAATTTGCAAGAGAACACAAATTCCGTGCGATTGTGAATTGTATCCATCAATGTAGATACAATTCGTGTAAAAAGAAAGAGTGGTAATACTCATTTTGAATATTAAGGATGAAATTCCAGTTTTTCTTCAATTTACACCATTAAATAGAATAGGCCCCTTGTAGATCAAAAGGAAGCCAAATTAATGTTATTTATCACCATATACATTATTTTCACTTTATAAAAATTGCAACCAAATTATTGGGGTTAATCATGTGCAAAATGCAAGAATGAAAGTGGACAAATCACAAGCGCGGCTTCGGTCACTCTTATTTGCCAACTTACCTTTAGCATTGTCCTCACCATCATGGGCCTCCTAATCACCATGCTCAACTCATCATGCAGCAAAAGATATTCCAAATTTCAAAACACAAGAATACAGAGCAAAGAATTGGCCATTAAATTTGGAGTACAAAAGTTCTTCAGCAGCATTTTAACTAAAACGTAGGATATGAAATATTGGGGAAATATTGAGTTGTAACAATCAACTAAGGATATGAAAAAATAAAATAAAAAAATAATATTTAAGAAAACACAAAAACATGGTCAATTATTCCTCTTGATGACAACTCTGAAGAGAATTTTTTAAAAGATGGTAATGAGCCAACCATAATTTGTTTGAATAATTGTCTATGACTCTACTTCACTTAATTGGTCCGGAAATTCAAAAATTGATAATATATTGACAAAAAAATGTCTCATAATCCATTACTTGGTTATGCAGTCCAATCAGGTCAATAAATTGAATAGTAGTACCAGAGTTTCAAGAAAGTAAAAGGAATGATTCTTCTATTTCAACCATTGGCAATGATATTCTATAATATCAATTATTAGTGTTTGTTGTTTTTAAGTGATAAACTCGTGTGAGATATGGGGTTTTAATTTCTTGCTCAGTTATGTGCCGAAACCCATGAGATTGAAGGTTTTTTTTGTTTCAGCACTCAACCAAGCCAGAAATCCCCAAGCCTCACATGGATTCATCACCTACAGAGCACAAACAACAAACTCTAAAGAAACCAAAAATAATTGCATGCAAGACAAGACAACGGTTACGGATGTATTTCATGTTTTTTTGAAGAAGAAGAAAACCTAGCAGAGGCTTTTCGGTAACACAAATAGTATTGTAAATTTGAAAGAATTAAAGGTCATACAAATAAATTAAATTAACCTATTCCAACACCAAACCTATGCAGGAAAGGTTATACAAATATCCCCACAACCAAAAAAATGAGATTGAAAAGTTTGGTATAGAAAATGTTGGGGAATGGATTAATCAGGCCAAGTCACTCTATTTTTAGTTCACTTGTCCTTAAATGCCCATATGCAGTTGCTTCGATTCACTCATTGGGTCACATCATTTTTAGCTTCGAGTGTGTGTGTGTGTGTGACTTCCTTGTCCTATCAAGCTACTACATGAGATAAATTCGGATTTCGGAATTATGCTAAAAAGAAAGTGGGAGATAATTAATTACATAATAAAACTATTCATTCAAATATAAATTAATTAGTTTAATAGTAACTTTTTTCCTGAATATATTTATGAATGTGCTTTGACTTTAAAACTAATAAAATAGGAATTAGTTTTTTAAATTTAAATAATATAATATCTTAAAAATAAATGGAAATATGGTATATTATATGCAATAAAAAATGATGAACTGTTCCTTATATAATTATCTTTTCAAGATAGGTGAGAAAGAAGATAAGAGCTGGTACTTTTGAATTTTGATAATCTAAGTTAATTATAATTAAATAATTTTAATTTCAATAAAAAGGGGAAAATGCAATATACTTAATATTAAATTAGGGTGCAATGTTTTGTGCTAAATTACATGAATTAGGATAAAAATGCAACGTGATTAAAATATTAGGGGGTAAAATGCATTTTAACCCAAATTATTTTAGTTATTTAATAAAAATTAATAATTAACAAATATATTCAGTAGAGTTTTTTTTCCAAATGGTTTAATAAGTTTCATTAATGACTAAATATATTATAAAAGGATAATGAGTATGTTATACACATGTTAATAAAATATGTTATACCAGATTACCAAAAAAAAAAATTGTTACGCACTTGATCAGTTCAAGAAATGTTGGCCCTGTGTATACCGAGTTGAGCCTGGTCCAAGTGGTGCTTATAGTGATATTACAACTGGAATTGGGAACAATGGCAAAGGATGACTCCGCGAGATGGTTGCGCTAGTATTAGAGATCTCTGCTTGGTTGGGACAGATGGTGAAGGTACTTGCAAGACACATTCACGTTCAAGTCCGTGTTTGATTAATGAGCTTAAGTAATAATGGTGAAGATGGTCATACAACGACTTTGTGCCTTTTTTATATAGCAACATCATGACATGCTTATGCCTCCTTAATATGGCGGCATTCAATCACATTGGTGAGTTTATGTGGCTTCTAGTACTTGTCTTTTGATCATCGGCAGTTGAGGAGGCCTAAAAACTCTGTGCTGCTATTATTCCAACTGTGTCCTTAAGTCTTTATTATTGGGTTTCTTGGGCTATTTATTGGATTGGACCTTTCATCTCACTTAGTATGGGTCCATATCAACACTCTACTTTACTATATTTTAGTTTATTCATGCAATGAAATATTTGTCACATCCTTATAGAATGTATTTAATAATTTTTTATATCAATTACTATGAACTAATATTATATACGATTTTATTTGATTAATTATATGAATTATGCACATTAATGTTATATTATTAGAAATCATACATATCGGACAAGGAATTTTTTATGGCATCTTTTATAGAACATATTTAGATTGGATGTGGTTGAGACTCTTATATGCATGCTGTACTGACTAGAGTTATAAATTTTGAGATTGAGTTATAGAATTGTACTATGTTTTTCATGTTAGCAATCTTGTCTAAGATAGTTCAAGTGCCAAGAGTGACCATTAGTGCAAGCAAGTGAAAGATCTTAAATTGTTCTCAACTTAAAAATTAGGAATGATAAGATTATCCAAATATTTGATAAATCTGAAGAGAAACTATTTTTAAAAGCTTTACTTGCATTAAGAAGCCAAATTACTATATTTTTTATATTTTTAGGGTTTTCTCCTATCCAACAATACATTGGGGTTTTACGACAAGAAGTTCAAATATGTTTTTAAACTTTAAAAATATTTTTAAACATGCTAAAATGCTCGGTGAAGTTTAGAAAAGTTAATGATAGTGGTAACTCAAAACAATGAAAAATAGTCAGGTCTGAGATTATAAAAAACTCAATCCCTAGTTTCATCAGTACTTTTAAAATACTTAAAGTTCATATTAAGAAAAAATGTCAACAATAGACATGTATGAAATACAAGTTCTGTGACCATGTCGTGAAAACATGGTACCATTAACCATTTCTTACATGCACCAGTTTAGGTTGCAAAGTAACACTATTCACTATAGTTTATAAGCCATACAATGAAGGACCATAAGTTTACACTCTACAAACCAATATAGATAATAAACAACTGCAATTTAAGACATTCATTCTTGGCATCAAACATGCACTTCTTGCGAATTTGACAGTCCTTCCATATAGAGAATTACACATGAAAATAGAAGGAAGCAACGGGAAACATTGGCACACCAATATTTCAAATCCATGTAGAGAAAAAAATTTGATCAACAAATAAATATAGCCCCACATTCCAAATACTAAAATTCTACCAAATATGACCATCAATTTGTTAACTCCATAATGGCAGCAACAATGTCGCCATTGGCAGCTTTGAGAGCTTTAACTGCTCTTGATCTTGTCACACCAGCTTGAGTCATCACCAACTCAATATCCTTGGGATCTACATCAGTCTCATCCACATCCTCATCATCTTGAGCAATACTAGAGGATTCAGGCTTCAATCCCACGTTACTCAAATTAGGAGCCTTGAACTGCTCAGCAGCCTGATTTTGTAGCTGTGAGCTCAAGTCTTCAATCTTAGCTTCCCCAAATATAATGTATGTGTCAGAAGTTGGGCTCTTGAAAACATCTGGTTTTGAGATAACGAACAGGATCTAAACAAACAAAAGTCCAAAAATTCAGTTTTGACCAAAATACAAAATAGATGTGGCAATTAAAAACTCGTCAAAATAAATAGATATGTCAAAGGCTAACATTCTTGCTCTTCTTGACCGTCACACGACTGACACCGGTGACAGGTTTCATTCCAAGTTTAAGCATTGCCTTGCGACTCTTCTTTTCACTTCTGGTCTGCTTGGACCTACCAGATACATCACCTTCTAGACCTGCAATATAACACAAATTCCTCGAGATTGTGAATTGTATCCATCACTGTAGGTTCAAATCATGCAAAAAGAAACAGAAGTATTAACTCAGTTGTACAAAACTGAGAACCATCACAATCTACATGCATTTTCATTTTTATTCTGATACATATTAAACTAATAGTGATTTCTAAATCAAAGCACATGAAGGTATAACTTATTATGGGAAGCAAAAATATTCAAATTACTAATACAGAAATTTTTAATCAAACAGAACAATTAACAACTTTGTGAACCATGATGATTAACACCGTGTAAAACAGCGCCCCAAATAAAAGAAAATAAAATTGAAAAATATTGACCAAAATTTGCAAGAGCCAATTTCTTAAATTAAAAAAAAAAATACAATAGGTCACTTGTAGAACAAAGGCAAGCCAAATTAATATGATTGGGCGTTTACATTATTTTTACTTTATACTAATTCCAACCAAATTATTGGGGGAATGTACTGAACATTGTCCAGATGCAAGAATAAAAGTGGGCAAGTCATAAGTGCTACTTCAGTCAATCTTATTTGCAACTTACCTTCAGCATTGTCATCATCCTCATCATCATCATCGTCATCCTCTTCCTCCTCATCATCGTCATCATCCTCAACTACAGGCTCATCATGCTACAAAAGATGTTACTCAAAAGTTCAAAATACTAGAAAACAGAGCAAATAATAGGCCACTAAATATGGAACAAAGAAGTTCTTCGGCAGCTGCTATATTTTAACTAGAAATAGTAATCATGGCAAAATATTGAACTGTAATAATCAACTAAGGTTATGAAGAAAAATAAAAGAATAATATTTATAGACACAATTTGCCATGTTAATTTAAACTGTCCTTCATGGACAGAGATTAAATTCCTTTACAAATATAAGTGTTCCATCTTTTCTAAAGGTTGTGTTATCCTTTTATTGATTTGAAAATTACACTCTCCTTTTTAACTGAAACCTTCTAATTTCGACTCTCTTCCATGTCTCAAATTACTAATCCAAACTCTAATTAACAATAATGACTCAGCCACTCAATTCCAAAAAAAAAATAATCACATCAAAAAACAGCAGGCAAACAGCATTTAGAAAATCAAAGCATTCTGAAACCTCAATCTTCTCAGATCAAACACTAAACGCAAACCTTTAACAAACCCCTTTACAACCCACAAGACACAGAACCATAAAACAGGTTAATTGATGAATTAAAAAGAAGGAAAATATTGCACAAAACCAATATGAACCAAAGCATTTTTTAAATCCAATTATAATCCACAAAGAACACTGTAACACAAAAATTACAGTTAAGAACAGAACATGTGTGGGTGTAAATTACATGGATCTTTTGCTGTTCGAGGAGTGCTGCAAGAAGCTCTTCTTGAGTCTCAGCAGTCATAGCGATTTATCGGTGTTGTCGGAAATGGATTCTGCAGTAGATCCAACACAAGCAACAACCTTAAACCCTAGAACTACGTTTTATACCCATAATTCGGGTCGACCCGATTTTAACCCGTTGCTGCAGTCCTGTCCCTTTTTTTCAATGCGGTTCTTAAGGAACCCTTTTACAATTCTTACCGCGGCACATCAAATTAAAAACCTTTGTTCATTTTGTAAGACAGGTCAATTACGTGTGGATAATCAATTTTATGGAAAACTGTCATGTGATTAAAAAAAAAATTATGTTAAAAAATGGTTTGTAAATTTCATCTTCATCAACAAAAGTTTATAAAAAATAAGCAAAATACTGCAAGAGATAATAGAAGATAATCAATAAAAAGACATAAATATAGATTCAAATAGGTGGTTATCTATACTTATGTTTGATGTTTTGTTTCTATATTAAATATAGATTAAAATTTGTATTCTTATATTATTATATTTATAGTTTTTTATAACTCACTGTATTTTTGTATTCGTATCTTATGTCTTGAATTATCATTTTTGTAGGTGGGAAAAAAAATCATTTGCATGTAGTAATAATATATTTTACTTAAGGGTGTGTTTGGTTGGAGGTTTTCGAGGAGATTGATAGGCAAATGTGAAGTGGGAAAATTGGGTGCCCATGTTTGGTTGAGAGAGGTTTCAAATTTATTTACCTAAATGAGTATGCTAGCAAACCACTTTGTCTATCATTTTGGAAAGAGATTGCAGGCCAAAAAAACCCTTTTCATATGTGGTATTTGCGGTTAGCTATGTATTTGGTTTAGTGGGTGTAATAAGCAAAAGACCAACTTACCCTCTGTTACGAGGGTACTTCAATGTTTTAATATTGTAATGTTGTCGTCTACTTTTGATTCTTATAAAAGACAAATAATTTATTATTAGTTTAGCAAGCATCATCTTTTGTTTCTGTCCATGCATTACTATCTGTAATTCATCTTCTTTTTTTCTTTTTTCCTTTTTTTATAAAGAAAAAAACAAACACGATTTACCTTAGCTATTCGTTTTAATTCACAGTCGTTAAGGTTATTTTTGTAATAGCACATTTTTTCTCCATCTATATTTTACCAAAAGCCAAACATAGACTTTACAAAAGTTACTTAATTTCTTCGGTAAAAATTTTCTCAACCAAACAACTATTTTTACATTTTCTTATCAAACTCACTCTCCAACCATTTCTGTACTAATCATATTTTCTTATGATTCATAAAAATTTCTCGTCAACCAAACCGCTCATAGAGAAATTTTTAACTACAAGCTATTTACTCTATCATTTCTTATTCTATTTAACAATTGACATCTAATAAGTTTGGTATCGAACCGTTTTATTCGATTGGGAAAGACTTCTTAATATAGACGATGATACAAAGCTATGGTATCTTAGTTATAAATAGCTATTTAATCCTAGTTACAAATGGTCATTTAATCCTAGTTACAAATAGCAATTTAAATTAATACAATTGTATCCTAGTTACAAATAGTTATTTAATCCTAGTTACAAATGGTTATTTGATTTAATTAGTAAATACCAACAGAAACAAAGCATATACTAGAATCTTCAATTTGAGTTCAAAAACAGCCTCCGCAATTTTTGGAGTCTATTAACATCTATAAAGACATTCATTGAAGATTAGTACATTTTTAATAGGGTTATACAATCTCGCACTTGTCTAATGTTGAATGTCACACTTTTAATGCCAAAATTGAGTGTCTAACCGACAATTACACCCCTTTTGGGATACGCACTTATATTAGAGATCAAGTTTAATAACATTTATTTCAAGTCACCGGAAGGAAAATCTCCTATGGTAAAACTTGATCTTAGAAACTGCTTCCCTGAACAAGAGTGAGCAAATTCCTCTTTAACTTCCCAAATCAATCGCTATTTGAGGGCTGCCCTATCATAATCCAAAGCCAGAGTGGTTATGGCCACTCTTCTAAGTTTCAAGAATGAAGGTTGGCCCATGAAATCCAAAGCACTGAGTTCCCAAGGGATGAATATTACAGGTCCATTACCCATGCAACAATGAATAGAAAAAAGTAAATCACACTGTCAAAAGAAAAGCATCCAGAAAAATATGGGAGTGACTACCTCATCTAAATCCTCGAAAGTGCCTTCAACTATATCCTTCAACATCAACATAATCAATAACACATTTATCTCAAATTAGTTAAGAGTCAGTGGCATAAGAACCTAAATGAAAAATACAAAAAGATTAAGGGAAAAATGTGCTTTCCACTGTATCCTTGTGGGCATATATTCCATAATGAATATAAGAATTAAAATATATTAGAGCAATCTAATATAAAATCATTAAAGTGATTTTCACTTAATAACTTGAATTTTTAGTTGACATGGTTGCATTGTATAATAACTGTGTGACCAAGTGTTCAAGAGCTTGATCTGTACATAGACCTACACTTTATCCACCATTCAAGTCCATTAAAAAGTTCTTGTGTGAAGAAGTGTGTTAAAAGAAGTCCATTAAGAGCTTAACTTTTTTGGTGAAGTGGTTGCTTATCAAAATAAGATATGAAGGTCCATGTGAACGATGGTGGTGGATAATGTTTTTTCCGGGATCTTTGCGAGACATGAACAGGATAAAGATAGAGATAAAGCTAAGCATATGCACTTTATTAATCAACAAATTTTTGTTAAAGGACAAATCAAATTAATCTCTTTTTTAATGATTACTTGTTCAGAGGATGGTGTTCTATTGATCATATCCTACCAAACTCCAAGTTTGTCGCAACAACAACCCACATCAACTTAAAGAACTAGAATTACAACTGATTTATCTCAATCCATGATATCTAAACACCAAAATTGAAGAAAGAAAGAAAAAAAAAAAAAATCATTTTTTCGGTGAATGCAGAACATATCCATGTTCACTATCTTCCAGTTTTAAATCAAATGCCAGAACTAATTAAGAAACTAAACAAAATATTATATGTGAAAAAGCTTCGTTCTGATTCAGATAGCTAATCTGGAAATGTAGGAAATGATCTAAGATTTTACAGCTAGCCCATTGGGGAGAGGGGTACTGAAGAGTTGCAGATCATACATAAACTTGAATGGATGCCTCCTAAATAAGAATTGATGATTTCTCTTTGTAACTAATAAATTATGGGGAAAATGTGTCCTTTTAACCAATTTACACAAAGTCTGGCCGGTCAGACTTTATATAAATCTGAAAAGTTACTTTTTTTTCTCTTCACATCGCTGATGTGTAAAGTGGAAAAAAAAAAAATTCAAATTTAAACAAAGTATGACTGATGAGACTTTATGTAAGTCACTAAAATAACACAAATTGTGTCCTTTTAAATGACATTTACTCAACCCATAAATTATTCGTTCAGACAAATATCACCACCCCCCCCCCCCCCCCCCATGAATTTGTTGTCAAACTGCAACTGAGGTTAATGTCTAAATCTTAGTGGTATCTAATATCTAACATTACTATTTCAATGTCTAGATTAATCACAAACTTACTTTCCAGTATGTGAGACATCGTGCATGGGTAACAGCTAAAGATTACAGGCCTGGAAAGGAGCCTTGCAATAATTCTTGAGGTTATGAAGATAGTAAATCAGAGAGATGTCCAGTGGTAGAAACACCAAGTGGTGTTATAGCTGCAGGAGGCTTGTTTGACTGTGAGGTAGAGTTATGGTTTGTTTGTACTAACGAGAGATTTGTTCAGGAACTCAATGATATGGTGCACATTGACTTCCTGGACTTCTTTGAACTGGACAACGATGAAGAACACAACGGAGGGTTTGGACTCATGGAAGTTTTCTTAGCTTTTGAGGAATAAAAGCTATAACCATGGTTTCAGGGTCTGATCAGAATCAATCGCTGAAAAATGTCCACGGTTTGCTCCTTTGTTAATTGTGGCCAAATTCCGTTCACATTGTCCAGCATAAAAAGATTATTTGAACCGGGTAGTCAAATGCCATGTACCCATATATATATATCACTCAGATTGTATTTGGTTGGTAAAGCATAACGCCTGCCCTGTTTGTTGTCAGGAATTGCCATCGCAAGGATTAAGTAGCGACCATGGCTCCAAATAGTAGATGTAAAAGCACTAATAGTAGCAGTGCAGAGAAGAACCTGTTTCCGTGGCCTCTCTGCTCTAATTCTACTAGTGAAGAGAACAGCTTGTCTGGCCAAAAGGAACATCTTTTGGAATAAACCGATAGTTTTTTTTGTTCATGTAAATGATGCATCTATTCACGCCAAAGAATTAAACTCGTATGGTGTGTTAGCCTTACCTTCCCATATCCATTAGGTTGACGCAAGCTGGGTACCATGCTAAATTTCATGTTCAGTGGCCAAGTCATGAAAAAAGGCTACCACGAACCATTTCTTACCTGCACCTGCTTATGTGCGTCGAGTATATTTATAAGCCATACAACGAAGGACCATAAAGTTTACACTTTACTGACCAATATAGATATTAGATTAATTGAGGTAAGATCCATTGACACCGGTGTCAAATTTAAAATTTGACACCTCACCTGATAGCCAGATCAAAAAAGATCAATGGTATCACATGCTTACAAATCAGAGTCGTTGATTTTTTTTTATCTAACAGCTCTCAGACGAGGTGTCAAATTATTCTTGGCATTAAACATTAAACATCAACACGTGGCGAATGAGATGGTAGTCATTTCATTCCACACGGACAACTACAGAGAAAACAGAATAAGGCAAAGGTAAATATTGGCAAACCACTATTTCAAATCCAAGGAGAGCAAAAATTTCGATTAACAAAGAAAAATAGCCCCACATTCCAAATTCTAAAATTCTACTAAATTTGAGCATTAATTTGTTAGCTCCATAATGGCAGCAACAATGTCGCCACTGGAAGCTTTGAGAGCTTTAACAGCTCTTGACCTTGACACACCAGCTTGAGTCATCACCAACTCTATATCCTTGGGATCTACATCGGTCTCATCCACATCCTCATCATCTTGAGCAATAATAGAGGATTCAGGCTTCAATCCCACATTACTCAAATTAGGAGCCTTGAACTGCTCTGCTGCCTGAGTTTGTAGCTGCGAGCTCAAGTCTTCAATCTTAGCTTCCCCAAATATAATGTATGTGTCTGAAGTTGGACTCTTGAACACATCTGGTTTTGATATAACGAACAGGATCTAAACAAACAAAAGTCCAAAAAATCAATTTTGACCAATACAAAACAGATGTGACAATGAAAAAACTAGTCAGAATAATTAGATATGTCAAAGCTAACGTTCTTGCTCTTCTTGACAGTCACGCGACTAACACCGGTGACAGGTTTCATTCCAAGTTTAAGCATTGCCTTACGACTCTTCTTTTCACTTCTAGTCTGCTTGGACCTGCCAGATACATCACCTTCTTGACCTGCAATAGAACACAAATTACTCAAGATTGTGAATTGTATCTGTCACGGTAGCTTCAATTTATTTAAAAAGAAACATTAGCATTAACTCAGTTGTAAAAAACAGAGGCCCATCTCAGTCTACACGTATTTTCATTTTTATTCTGATACCAGATTAAATTGACCTGTGAATTTCCCACAACCTATTTTTGAAACTGATTTATTACAACTCTAATTCAAGTCTATAAACAGAACAGTGAATATTGAACATGTAATTAAGGATGAAATCCCAGTTCTGGCTCAATTTGCGCCATTAAATCATGTGAACTTCACACTTGTACTGATAGTGATTTCTAGGTCTAAACAAATTAATGTATAAATTATTATGGGAAGAAAAAAAATTTAAATTCCTGAGAATAAAATTTTTAATCATAAACAACATTTGGACAACTTTGTGAACAATGTTGAGTAACACCATGTAAAACAAGGCCCCAAATAAAAGAAAATGAAATTGAAAAATGATGTCCAAAATTTGCAAGAGCCAATTTCTAAATTTTAAAAAACACAATAGGTCACTTGTAGGAAAAAGCCAGGCCAAATTAATCTTATTGACCATATACATTCTTTTTACTTAATACTAATCCCAACCAAATTATTTGGGAAATGCTACTGAACATTTGCCAAATGCAAGAATGAAATTGGGCTAAGTCATAAGGGCTGCTTCAGTTAATCTTATTTTCCAACTTACCTTCGGCATCATCCTCATCATCATCATCATCGTCGTCGTCCTCCTCCTCTTCCTCATCATCATCATCCTCAACTACTGGCTCATCATGCTAGAAAACAGAGAAAATTGTAGGCCATTAAATATGGACTAAAAAAGTTCTTCCTATACACAAAAAGATAAAAAAAAAATATTCAGCTGCAAACCAAATAAGGTTATTTACAGCTTAAATTTCAAATAGAAACTAAGTGTTCATTCTTTTCTAAAGGTTGAATTCTTCAATTTTGATTTGAAAATTAGACTTTCTTTTTCATACAAATTGCTGGAACATTTGAATACCCAGAAACCTTTCAATCAAATTGCATAGACAATGTTCAACATGGAACCAATTGAAACATAGTAATTACACTTTTTATCCGGTCTCAATTGACCAGTCCAAACTCTAATGAACAATCACGACTAAGTCACTTAATTCCAAAAAAAACATGGGATAAAACACAGCAGGCAAACTAGATAGAAAATACAAAGCTATATAAAACTCCAATCTTCTCATATCAAATACAAAATGCAAACCCTTAACACACTCCTTTACAGGCCACAAGCCACAAACCCATAAAAGAGCTAGCTTATGGTAAAATCCCAAAACATTGCACACAATGAAATTGAAACAAAGCATCTTTAAATCCAATTCCAATTCACAAAGAACACTTTAAAATTAAAATGAAATAAAAACGCAAAGGCTCAACACAATAGCATCCATATTGAATGGCAGCATGAAATCCGCACGTCAAAAATGCATTAAAAAAGAGAGAGACAGAGAATCGACAAGACAGCAAGGTAGTTAAGAACAGAACATGTGTGGGTGTGAAATACATGGATCTTTTGCTGTTCGAGGTGTGCCGCAAGAAGCTCCTCTTGGGTCTGAGCAGTCATAGCGATTTATCGGTGCTGTCAGACACGGATCCTAGTACAGTAGGTACAACACAAGCAACAATCTAAAACCCTAGAACTATGTTTTTATACCTACGATTCGGGTTGACCCGATTGTAATCCGTTACTTTCGGTTGTCTTTTTTTTTTTTTTTTTCAATGCAGATGGTACGTACGAACCCTTTTGTATTTCTTACCAAACCGCATCAAATTAAAAACCGTGTTCATTTTGCAAGACAGGTACCATATTGGTTATTACACGTGGATAATCAATTCTAATGAATATTGTGATGTGATTTAAAATATATATATATATATATATATATATATATATATATATATATATATGAAAAAGTGGCTACTAAATATTAGATCCGTTAACAAAAATTATGTACCATGCATTTATTTTCTTTTACACCAAAAATGGGCAAAAGACTGAATTGATATTTTAATAATTCAAATATTGAAGGTTTATGATAATTTGATATTGAAGCTTTCCATCAATGCTACATTTGAGAAGCCAATAGCAAATTAACAATGATATAAAAGGGACGTCCCATGCACAGAAATCACATTATACGTAGCATAATAGGCTCCCTTTTTGGTAATGCTTTTATTTTAAACAAATATATTTTTTTTTAGTTATGTATCTTAAATATATATATATATATATATATATATATATATATATATATATATATATATATATATAGGAAAGTTATACATACAACTTATTTTCACTTACAACTATTTACAATCATATCTTAAACGTTGATTTTCGCTAATTAACAGTTATTATTTATTGTGAATTAATAATTAATCAATGAGTTATCTGCAATAAGCTCAACAAGTATACTGCAGATAAGTTATCTGCAATAAGTTCAATACGACGTCATTTTGGAACGGAAATCGTGGTATTTTTATAATTTTAATTTATTTCAGAATTATTATAGTCATTATAATTATAATTTTCTAATTTTTCAATCCCAAAACGACATCATTTCGAAAGTAATGGTAGATAACGTATCTGCATTAACTGCAGAAATATTTTTCTGATATATATATATATATATATATATATATATATATATATATATATAGGGGAGGGTTATACTTACCACCAAGTAAATTTACCACCCTTACAACCAATCTCCTGACCGTTAGATTAGAATTGAATCTAACGGCCCATAATTATCCCTTATAATTCTAATTTTTTTCTCTCATCCCTCCCTAGGTTTGGAAACTGCGCCTCTCCAAAATTCATCTCTTCATTGTTACAGTTTCTATCAAAATTCAAGGTTTGTCCCAGTTTGTTTCATGAATCCGTTTCTGATGATGGTGGGAGGATATTATGAAATCGCTTTTTTATTATTTGCCATCGATCATCTCCCCATGATTATGGTTGAATTGTTTATAATAAAAAAGTTGCGAATCAGATTTTTTAAGGAATTCACAACTTTTTATTAAGGAGCAATTCCCATCGCTTTTTAAGGAATCAGATTACAATGAATTCCCATTAAACAATGATTTTTTAATAACGAATAAATTGGTATAAAATAATGGAAGAATTCCCATTCAGCGTATACATAGCAATTCATAGCATGCATCCATGGCTGTATACGGTGTTTCAAATTCAAACAGAATAAACCACAAAGCATCATAAAGATTGTGACCGATTTAGTTTACAATCGAAATCAATCGGAGGAAAAACATGAAATGAAAAAATGAGGATGATAAAGAGAGGATGAGAGAGTTGATTCCCAGATCTAGAGAGAAAGGTGTGCAGATCTCAAACCTAGAGAGAGACAGAGAGAGAATGGAAGAAAAAAAAAATTAAGATTATAAGGGATAATTATGGACTGTTAGATTCAATTCTAATCTAACGGTCGGGAGATTGGTTGTAAGGGTAGTAAACTTACCTGGTGTAAGTATAACCGTCCCCATATATATATATATATATTTATATTACAACGTGTGCTCTTTATATAATCTTATATTAATTACTTTTATGTTTTAACAATGTTTCTATTTTATAATATTCAAAACCTACTGAATTTTTATATTCGTCTCGTGTGTCTAACGTTGACTCTAATGGGGGAAAATAAGTTCACTTGTAATTGTAGAATAATTCACCGATAAAGATGTTGATGTCGTAGAATAATATTTTCACATCTCTCTTGGAGAAACTTTAAGCTAGGCACTATCTATTACTTCATCTCTTACTCTATTTAACAATTCACATCCATAGAAACATTAGTTGAAGACAAGTGCATTTTTAACAAGGACAAAGTAATCTCACCGACTCAATGTTGAATCTCAAACGTCTAATGTTAAATTCAGTGTCTAAAGTAGGGAGTATCTATCGATAATTATTACTCCCTTGCGAGATATGGCACTTAAATTAGACATAATAACATTTCTTCCCAAGTCACCAAAAGGAAAAACTCGTACGCTGTTCGTTGGCTTTTAGCCATAAGTCATAATCCAAAGCCAGTTCTTCCTTACCGGAAATCCATCAGAGAGTTCAGGACATTGATTTAGAAGTTGACGACAAGAACATAGAGGACTGTGGAACATCATTTTGATTTCATTTCTTACTCTAATCGATACCATTTATAATGTGGCCTCATTTCTCAATGAAGACTGCCTCCTTTATCACCTATTTATTCGTTCCGTGCATGGAATGTTTCCTCTTCCTCTGCTGATGATGTGCTTTTCAACTCGGGCACACAGGAATCATGCTAAGTGGTTATGACCATTCATGTTTGACGAATGAAGATTTTTTCCTCGGAATTCAAAGCATTAATTTCTCCAGGTGACCCATCTGATGTAATTATGTACAAATGTGGCGCTCAACAAATGACAAATCCCACCGTGGGAGGGATATCCATGTTCATGGAAAATACAGACAAAAAATCCATTACATTCCAAAAAGAGACTTCAGGATCAACCTAAATCCTACAGGTAAGCTAAACTAATTTCCAAGGTGAGTTCACCAACCAGAGCCGCCACCAGAATTTCCAGACCCCCATCCATTATCAGCTGCTCTTTTGGAGCCAGTTCCCCAGCCAGAGCTTCCATGTTCAGCATCACTGGGACCAGCAGCAGCAGCACTCCCATTTCCCCAGCCACCATTGTCACTGGTACTAGCTCCACTTCCCCAACCACTGCCTCCACCACTTCCACCCCAACCACCAGGAAAAGCTTCCCTTCCAGGAGAATTCTGGACCTTAGCCCCGGGAAAATTGCTTAAACCATCATCTCCATCCTTGGCAACAGAACTCCATCTGGCGGCACCATAACCAGAGTCCTGCCTTTCATTATTGGAGTTGTGTCCTCTACCGCTATTGTTATAAGAACCTCGACCACGCCCACGTCCACCACCATACGGACGAGGCATTCCACTAGGATGTTCATCACGATTCCCACTGTTTCTGTAATCACCCCGTCCTGTAGAAGAAAACAAACAAAAAGGGTACAAATTTTGAATATAAGCCAGTGAAAGCTATTAAGCGGATGACCAGTGAACCAGAGACAAGGGGGTAACAGAAAGAACCAAACAAAATGCAGGGAAGGGAAAACCAATAAGCATTTTAACAGCAGAAAACTAATGATACTACACAAACATGAACATGGAATTGTGCATATTTAATATCAAAGCAGCAGGCGATAAAATAAATTATATTCATTTGACCCCAAAAAGCTGCAAGAGCACATACATTAGTAACCAGAACTAAATTAATTAGTTCATCCGCGAACTAGTTCCAACACGAATAAATTTAAGCTTATAAACTAGAGCTGAATTCAAAATTAAATTGATATACCTGTCCTGGAACCAGGAGTAGAAGATCGATCCCTATCATAAGAGTGACCTTTCCAGCCACCCTCATTATTTGAACCACCCCAGCCACTACCCGCAGATGCCCCTGATGAGCCACCACCAGCAGGGCTTCGCATTGGTACCATAGCAGCTACAGATCTAATGGAAGGGGCTGAATCATGCTGAGGATCATCAATATGCCTCTGAAAATAAGCCACCAGCCGATCAATGTCCTCAAACATCTTTTTCCGGAACCTGAATCCTTTTGGATAAAGCCCAATGTACTCATGGTGTGGATTTGAACTTCTTATATAAGTTAATATAAATGTGCCAGGATGATCATGAGCGATGCCAAAACTATAGACTATGCGCATGGGATTCTCGCCTTTCTCCGACTTCAAAAGTTCATCAACTTCCAACTTTGTACCCCTCCTGAACTTGCGATAATTTAACATTGCCTTTAAGTGAGTCACCAAGGGATCAACATAACGGTCCATAACCTAAGCAATAATGAAAAGGGGAAAGTAAATCATAGTGTCTGACAGAAAAGCATCCAGAAAATCAGGGGAGTGACTAACCTCATCTAAATCCTCAAAAGTGTCCTCTCCAATTTTTAACGTCTTCCCAATTCGTAGTAAGCTTGTGATGTCCTTGTGTTCCTTCCCACCTTCAACTATGTCCTTGTGGGCATATACTCCATCATGAATTTTAAGAGTTAAAGTAAGATACGATGGTCCACGTGAACTAGGGCGGATAATACTTTCTCCAGGATCTTTGTCAGACAAGAACTGCATAAAGATAACAGGTAAAGCTAAGAATGAACCTTATTAATCACAAAACTTTGCTAAAGGACATACATGATTAATCTTTTTTCCTTTAAAAGATTACTTGCTCAGAAGATGGTGTTTAGATCAAATCCTACCAAATTTCAAGTTTGTCACCCAAGAATCCACACCAACTTTAAGAACTAGATCTACATTTGATTTTTTTGAATTTATGATATCTAAATACCAAAAATTTAAGACAATTTATTATTTTAGTTAGCATCACAGGTTTTATTCTTCTAAACAAGCAGCAAATAGACAGAGGATAATAGAATAAAATATTACTAAGGAGCCCACAGAGATTGCCCCCTGTTGATATTGCAGTGAAAGGTAATATCTAGGCATAGAATGGCAAAGGTAAGTAGCATTAGTATGCATCTACCACAAAATTCCATAAATCGATTGGAAGTGGTCACATCCAAACCAATATTACCAGTACAGACAACCAATTGAAGCCTAGGAGACAATCATCAATGAATAAAATTCTTTGTCACCAAGGATTCAGTTCTAACTTCTAAGACATATTGACATTACACAGAAAATTAGCACAATCTCAAATTTGCAAAATCTTATGATTCTAACAAAAGGTCAATAAATCACATGGTATGGTATAACATAAAATTACTCAGAACAAACCTCCATTGCTTCATCAGCAGTTATGTTCTGGAAACGTGGATGAACAATCATCCTTGGCTTGAAATGCTTCTTTGCAAGCTCCTTTTCTTTCCGAGCTTTGTCTTGTTCACTTTGTAAACAGCTCCGGTCTTCATGGTAATAGGGATCAAGATCACAATTATTCTGTAACCGATTACTTCTCATTTCACTATCCCTACAAACAAGGAAGACTTGATACCTATTCTTTTGGATTGACTTGATTTTACAAGTGAGCATGTCACCTTCATGTAACCTATCAGATAATTCAATAATATCTCTCCAGTCATCCGTATAGTCTTCTTTCATGAGGATTCCAGTCATTCCAGTTTCGAGTCCACATATTGCTTTCTGGGCTTGCACTCTGCGAACTGTGGCTTGGACAATTTTACCCTCAGCAAGGGTCTCCTCAGTCTCACCTGAAATCATATAGAATTCATTATCCTGACTTGGTTCTTCATATTTCTTACGCCAATCCTGAAAACCTTGAATCAATTCTCTTTTTATATCATAGAAAGTTTCTATTTTGTTCTGACGTCCTTTCCCAGCAGCATACTCCTCAACGTCCAGGTTTTTTAAATAACCAGGTCGGTCTCTCACATGCTCAATGGCCATCTCCAGCGCATCGTCATCATCATTTGCATCACCTGTGCCATCTTCCTCATACACATCTTTGGCCAACTCTTCTGCAAGAACATAAGATTCTGGATGAATTCGTGTATCATCCAGCAAATCAATAACTTGGCTGCTGCTAGCAGCCAACCCACTTCGCCGGACACGCAAGAAACCAACCGCATTGTGAAACACCTTTTTACCAAGTTTATGTTCTATCAAAAAGTCCTTTCGAGTAAAAATTGCACCAGCTCTTACCAAGGATCTCTGTAAGGATGCAGCCTTCCGTGGACCAAGCCCAGAAATAAATTGTAATGGAGAAAATAACCATTCGTGACTTATTGCTAAATTAATGTCTAAGCCAATCTGATTGGTCACATCCACCATAACCTGCTCAACCATCCCAAATTTATCATCTGGGTTGAGAAAACTCTCCAAAGAGCTCAGTTTCCATGATAATATTTCTCTTCTAGGTCCACATAATGTTGCAACCATTGCCAATGGGTTCTGGAGATATCGACCAAGAGCAACAGCCCGTCTCACTATACCTACAAGGGAAGATAAATAGCATCAATTATGGGATTCCTTAAAAAGAGGAAGGCAGTATACACCCAAAACAATATTTACCTTGCTGTGAAGGAAGTTGTTCAGACGAAATTCGAGAATTTTCATAAAGACGGGGAAGGGATTCATCTCCATACACAATGCCGAGCCCATCCATTTCATGCCCAAGATCTCTAGGGTTTTCCTCCACCATCTTATAAATGACCTAATAAAAGTAGAGCAAACCACAGATAACCCATCATACGGCAACATAAAAAGCATTTTCCAAAAGGTGGGATCAAATGATTAATAAGACCCACCATATGAAAATAAAATAAAACGATTTGAACTGACAAAACCATGACTCAGGCAATCTATTTCAGCTTAATTGTAATTATCATATATCAGCAGCTTACCCAGTAGGAGGTAAACATGAATACTAATTTTACTTATCAAATGGTTTTACACTTACTCTTACTAACCCAAAAATTCATTCCACATTTCAATGCAGAAGTGTTATATGATCACAATATGATGCTTAGGATGTTGAAACACGGCATTTTTGAAAATTTGGTTACATTAAATACAAACCAAACTACTAAATGCATGTTTGTCCAGAAACGGAACAGTATGGAAATTGGAACAGGATTGAGAATTGATCATTCTCATTCCACGTTTAGATAGGTAATTGGAATTAGATAAGCACCTCTACAATTGCAAGGATAGGTATTACATTACAAAAGTGATGAACCCCCAATTCCATCTCACCAAATTATAGTTGTAAACAAAGAAAACAAGATGCTAACCTCATATATATCCTCCTTCAAACGAGTGCAAGACAAGTTAACTGCTCCTAAAACAACAACATGTGGTTGGTGGTCTGTCATAAATTTCAACACACGTTCCTGGTCATTCTTCTTCCGTTGTTGGTCATTAACATTCTGTGACCTTAAAGTAAGGGACCGAGTGTAAAGTACATCTAGCACTTCTCCCGATGAATCTAACATGACAAAAGTTGTTTGTGGGTTTCCAGGGCCCCAACAGCAGGCCATAACCCTAGGAGCAGCCTCATCATCGGAGCTAAGATCATTTTCTTTCTGTTGATAAGGTCCCACATAGACCTTATTCCACAAGGCCTTCCCATACTCCATAAGCAACCAATTCTTCGCTTTGCTTGCCAAGACACCTCTTGCCTCTTTTTCCATTGATGGTAAGAGAAATCGAAAAATTGCATCATGCAGTATCAACTTCCTCTGTTCATTCCACAGTTGAGCAGATCTGCTAACACTGTCACTGATATAATACTCATTGAATTGGTCTATTAACTTATTCAGATATGCTTCAGGAAGCTTAATAGTAATTTGAATGAGTTTCTCCTCTTCTGCCTTCTGTATAAGGAGCCATTGCGCATCCTCAAATTTAGACAGAGGCTTCTCCCGCAGCCATTTCACCCCGGCAAACTGATGAAAAGAATCTATTGTTATATTTCCATCAGCAGTAGGACAAGTTGACACCACACCGTGGTCAAGAAAGTGGCTACGAACATGTTTCCTAATGCTAGGCTCACAACTTATCTCAACAGCTGCCTGAAACAAAATAACCATAAGATAAGAACAAAAAAAAGACTGCCTTTTAATGATTTTGAACAAGGTTAAAGATACTTACCATGTGCCTAGAACATTTAAGTACTTCTTCAGAGGTATCATACATAGCACACGTAAAGTTAGAAGCCATCTCCTCCGGTGTTTCCTTTGGATCTTCCAACTCGTGCTAGAAAGGAGGGCAGGGAAAACAAAACTTTAGTCTAGGATCAAAACAAAAAGCAGTTCCAAATCTAGGTACACTTACCAGCTCAACCAGAGATAGACATAATCCTAGTTGTTCAGAACTACACCCGAACTTGCTTGCAACCTCCCACAGACCTTGCTTACTGCAATCGCTATACAATGACCTCCTTTTTGGCCTCTTGAATTGTCCTTCATCAACACCAGCTTCACTTGGTGGGAAATGCAAGTTGAACTTGGAGTCAACATCATCAACCTCCCTCTCAGATTCTGCCTCCTTTAGTGATCTCATAACTGATTCAAACAATTGCCGATTCAAGTTTAGTCTTGTTTCATCATAAACACGGCGGGATTCTTCTTCAAATCGTTTACTATAGTATGATTGGAGGGCACTCTTCCGCTTCTGAAGAAGCAACCACTTCCTGTCCAAGTCCTGAAGTGCCCAAAGTACCTAAACAATGCACAAGAATCCATTTGTAGTGTTTTAATTATGTAATAAACAAAATAGTAACAAATAACAATTTTACTAAAATCAATGTTAACAGACCTTGTGCCATTTTAGAGTAGGTGTCTTGTTATTCTTATCCCAATTTTCATCGCCAGCTTCAGGTTGCTCTAGGTCTTTCAATAAGCTTAAGCACTCCTCCTTCCGATACATAGCAATAAAAGGAATCTAAATAGACAAAAAGTCCAGATTAGGAAAATAAAGATAAAACTAACAAGAGATGCAAATAACACAAGATCAGATAACACAGACATCATATTTTTGCACATGATGCAGTTCCAAAAATCTGATGATATCATCCTTGTCAATTGGTATTTGAGAGCTTGAGACTTTCTTGCAAATCCAAGGGACCGCTCCATTTCCAAGTTGATTAACTATCCACTGACTCTCTTCATCTATACTACTTCCATCCATCGGAGGAGCACCAGTACTCTCCTCTGATATCTGCAAAAAAAATAACAATAATAGTAAATAAATAAATAAAATCAGCTCTCTTACAAGAAAGCACCAAGTAATCAGGAAATTTTGATCTATTTCTGTATATATCTCAGAAGACCTGCATCCTCTCTGGAAGATCAAGCTCCCTAATCTGGTCATCCTTCTCTGTCATATACTTCTCAGAAAGAACAATAGGCTCAAATTCATCTTCAAGTCTAGTCTCTCTATATTCCTGCAATCCAATATTTTGCTTGCGAGTCTGAAGCAACTCTTCAACGTCGCCAAATAATTCTTGAGCTTCTTGTAAAGCTGAGGAAGAGACACCTGGTGCCTGCCTAGTTTTCTTTCTCTTCAGCTTTCTGCGCCTATATAGAATTGCAGTAACAGATCATTAGATCAAATAATGGAATTCTTAACAACAAAAAATAAAACTCACATTTAAAATACCTCATTGGAGCTCCATTCTCATCAACTTCTTCTTCATCCACAATGAAGTCGGCCATTTCATCATCTTCTCCAATGTCAGCATCCTCCTCCTCTTCTCCTTGCTCCTCCTCTTCAGCAATGTCTTCAAGTGGAGCTCCTATAATTCATGGAAGGAAAAGTAAGCATATATTTGGTTTATTGGTGAATGTTTGAGCAGACAAATTACTTTTGGCATACAAAATGGGGTTCAACATTGAATGGTTAGAATTCATTATGCTGTCTAAAATTCCAAAAACCTACATTGACACCCCAAAATACAACGGGACAGAAATGATCGTTTACACATAATTGTACACTTTTCTTAACATCTAAGTGATATTTCAAAATAACTAATAATATTTTAGTAATTTCACATTGAAAAAATATTCTACAATATTCAAATCAACCTCATTCTTACAAAAATGTTCTTTAGTGAACATTTCCAAGCCTACTGAACTCGTTCTCCCAAAAGTGGTATTTCTATAACCATTCAGTTAAAAAGTAATTTTCCACCAACTATCAAGTCCGGTAAGTGAAAAATCAAAAACATAAACCAGCACAGCTGGGGCATACCTTCATCATCACCAAACAAACTGTGTTTAAGCTTCTCCTCGGCAGTTCGTCCAACTTTGCCACTTCCAATAAACTCCTCCTCATCAGATAGCCCAGAGGACTCCTCAGTATCCCTCTGGCCCTTTTTCAGCCGCTTGAACTTTTTGCTCTCCTGATGAATTATAAAAAATTACTGTCAACAAAATTTGGGTATTATGCATAGTATTTGTTAATATTAATCTTAATACACACACACACACACACAAAAGTTCCAAAACCTTCCGACGATGAATATTGATATTATTGTCCTCCAACAACTCATAGTCATCTTCATCAAGGACATACTCCTCCCTAAAACAGTGGGAATAAATATGTCAAATATTTAGAATGTAGATAATAACATCATGTATGTGTTGAAACTTTAAAATAGTACAGATGAAAATACACAAACAAAGTTATTCACTTATCTCCACCTTCCCCTGAAGGGACCGGGAGAAAAAGGACCAAAGGGGTAGCAGGGGGATAAAGAACAACAAAAGAAGCCAGACCATGTGCATAGCTATTAACATACATGGCATACTTTTAAAACAATTGAAGACAGATTTATATATCATACAAAGAATACTTCAATAGTTTCATGAAAGGAAAAGTTATCAGCTACTTGATGCAAGAGTGATTATCAAATATGTATATACACATTATCTAAATTAATAAAAAATATTTACATATTATCAAACATTATGTTTTCTTCTCTGAACATATAAGTTCATCAACTTCAACCATAGAGTGTGAAGAATTGACCTTTTCTTCTTCTTTTTCTTCTTCTGCCGCTCCTCATCACTTTCAGCTCTCTCTTCATCCTGCTCCTCTTCATCCTCAATGTCATCCACTATAAATCCATCCTTTTCATATTCATCCTGCCCTTCTGAAATGAGGGGGAAAAGAAAGAGAGTATCAACAACAATAAGATGGCATCAGATAAAGCTTATGAAGGGATAATTCTATGCACATGATTAGCTCCAGACAACAAGACACTATCTGAAAGATCACATTCATATAAAGAGCAAACCCGGTGCACAAGGCTCCCTCAACTAGCAAAAATAGGTGTAAGAGTCGATCGTATGTAGCCTTACCCTGACATTTTGAAACGAGGCGTTTTCCCATAACTAAACCCGTGACCTTCTAGTTACAAGAAACAACCTTACTACTACTAAACCAAATGGAAATATCAAGAACAAAAAAAGAAGCAAAATACTAAAAGATGCTAAACTCTTAACCATCAATCACATTAGAGCACGAGGAACCAAACAGTAAAATGCCAACATCATTTCAACAAACAAACAGGCAACTCTAAAATAAATATCACTCTTTCCAAATGAGAAACACCAAACAGCAGCCACCAGACAGTCTACCTCAGCAGACAGTATTTGAACTCTGATGACAGTGAGGGAAGCCCACGGGTAACTGCTATTAAATCTTATACAGCAAAATAGAGGATAAGGATTTATAATTCACTAGCCCAAACAGAATTTTGTGCTCCATCTAAAACCAGACAATAAAAAATGATATAAAAATTCACACACTCAATTCCCACCGACCAAACTGATATTTGAACAGCATACATAACTTTCGTTTCACGGTCCACAGCCAGATGACAAATCTCAAGCTAAGAGAAATCAAATATAGGCATAACCATGCTCACTTTTTCGGTTTCTCTCATGAATTGCAAGTTTGTTTTCGTTTCCAAACATACGTCATCAACCTAAAAAAGAGAACTTTTCAGCATTTAACACTGAAATTAGTTCTTACTAACATCAAACAGGGAAACATGCAAACCCTAATTTGAAGGTCGAAATCCCAGTGTTCTTTCAAAAAAAAAAAAAAGACAACGCCGCCACCACTCAAGGGATTTGCAAACAAAAAAGTGGGAACAAAAAATAACTCAAACAGTTCAGAAATTTCAACCCAATCGAAGTTCATACCCTCTTCTTCGTCCTCGTCATCATCATCCCTATCGCGACCCTCTTCCAATCCATCCCCATCAGCGGGTTCCCTCTCATCCTCGTCCACTTCAATGTCTTCTGCGCGCATTGAAGAACCAAAAATTGAAAAAACAACAAAAATGTGAGTCAATCAGAAGGAAAAAAGGAAATGCAAAGAGGAATCTTGAGAATCTCTAAGGTCTAGGGTTCACCTTCGTCGTCTGATATTACGCCTTTGCCCATGATTGGTGAACGAGACAAGACTACGAAACGCAAAAAACTTGCAAAATCGACAGAAAAATAGAGAGAGAAATCGAACTAAGCAGTGACTATCGAATGTGAAGAAGAAGAAGAAGAAGAAGCAAAAGAGTTTTGGTGTTTGGAAGGGGAAAATGAAAGAAGAAAAGAGAGAGGACGCTGTCTATTTATTATATTTCGTAAAAATTCAAGTCACGCTGAGCTTAGGCTAATAAATAATTTAAAAAAAAAAAAAAAAAAAAAAAAAAAAAAAAAAAATTAAGAAAAGATTTTTAATTCAAACGGAGTATTAAAAAATGTTTTATAAGAGTTATGTTGTAGGAAAAATGATTGTGTAATTTTCTAGAGATTCGTTTTACGTGCCTTAATTTTTTATTTATTTTTTTATTTTAAAAAGTGTGGGCCTCACATAATGTTGTGAGTGTAGGAAAGTTTATTGTGTTATGTTAAAGGATAAAACGAAAACCCATTAAAAAATAAAATAGTGATTTTTTTTATTTTATTTTTTGTAAATTAAAATAGTGATTTTTGGTTATATTATATATTTGAAAACCAAACTTACAAAAAAAATATTGAAATGTTGTTTTTTTTTTTAAGTCTAGATTCGTAACTACGGAAAATAAAAAGAAGCCACAAGCTACCATAATTTTTAGGACATGTACAGTACAATTTTTTTGTTTTAAGCTAAAAAATAATTTTTAAAATTAAAATTTATTTTGTGATTATATAAAAAATTTAGTTTAAAAGTTACTATTGAGTTCATAGAATTTTAAAACATTTTTTTGAGACAAAAAAATTTTATAAATTTTAAAAGACTATTTAGAATTTTAGAAATTTTAAGATTTTTTTTAACAAAAAAATTACAATCAAAATTTCATAAGATATGATTTTATAGAATTTATAATATTTGAAAAGACAATATGGATATATAAAATTTGAAAAAACTATATGAATTTTTAACAAATATTCAAAATTACAAGAGTTAATAAAAAAATAAAAAAATGCAATGATATTAACAAAAAAAAGTAAAACCTAATATAATTTTCTCAATTAGTAAAACATAATATAATTTTTAACAAACATTCAAAATTTCTGAGTAACACCTCTCCACATATCTAAAGTTATATTATTCTCCATGCATTAACATTTTCTCATTCCTGCTCTTGGGTTTGACGAATGGGTTGAAAATTATCTTTTCATTTGGTATCACAGCTATGCATGTATGATTATAAAATTAATTTTTTTATTTATTAAAATAATTCTAAATTTGCATATAGTACCTAAAGTTCATGATAAAATTTGGTTTGGAATTTTTTGCAATTGATCTTTGAAACCTTGGAATTTTTTGTTTTACGTGATGAGAGTTTTCTAACCATATATCATATGCATATTTTCATTGTGTATTCTAAGAAAATTTCGAATATGAATTTTTGGATTTTATTTGATGAAAGTTCAGAAAATTTCTTAAACTATTTTCAATCGATACATTGAAATCTTAAATTGTTTTAGAACTTTTGAAAAACAAGTTTTTAGTTATCTATTAAAACAAAATTTGTTTGAAATTGTTTCCTATAGTGAAAGAATTTTGTTCATGAATGTATTATTACGAAATATAGGGTACATGGTTCATATTATAAAAGTTTCAATCTTTTTTTAAATTGGTATAGTTTCATCGATGTAAAATGAAAATTGATTTGGGGGTTAGGGGTGTTAAATGAATCACGGGCCTTTGGCTTGTGAAGGTGTGTGTAAGAACCCACACTGTTAATTAAGGAATTCAATTAATAAATTATGAGAAAATAGGAAATGATTCAATAATTGACCCTAATAATTATTATGAGGTTTTAATAATTATAGTAAGTAAGTAAGAATGTTAAAAGTCATTTTTTGGAAGAAAAGTGCAGATACTGGTTCTGCTAGTCGGTATAAATGCGTACCGAAAAAGTATCTCGGAAAATTATTATAAGTGCCTGATAAGTACTAGAATAATATGTAGGACTTGGAAAACGAATTTCAAGTCAAAATAATGAGAACTGGTGCCAGAAACCGATACTGGCTATGAAAAATGCGTACCGGAAAGGTGCTTCGAAAATTATAAGAAAAATATGATAATTCTTGTAAAATTGAGTAGGTTAAGAATCCAAAGTTTGGGATTAAAATGCTAAGCGTAGCAGTTAAAGTTAATGCTGTGTGTTTAACCTTTAAGTGACCTATAAATACTCTTTCTTTTGGCACACAACCCTAGAATTCTGTTGCTACGTGGGTCTTCTTGGTGGCTGACCAGAACACACTGCTCCATTGCCTTCATCCATCTCTTGTGAGCCAAGTTGCCATCTTTTTACTTGGTTCTTCATTCTTGAGATTGCATACACTTGAGAGCTTGCATGGAGAGGGAGTGTGGGTGTATATTCTGAGTTTCTAGACAATGTGAGTGGGGTGTGAGTGCTGACCTTGTTGGTTTGAGGGTTGAGGGGACTTGTTCCTTGCTTGTAAGGCTTCAAAGTGTCAACCTTTGTGAAGAAATGGCATAGCTTGTGTTGCCATTTTCGTTTTTGGTACAAGTCAGAACTGTAGAGGCTGTGTGGTGAGCTCCAAGAGCCATTCTTGCTCTGTTTTGAGCTTTTGTAAGTGTCACCAACCTTGATCACATGATTTGATGGGTAAAAGAGGTGTATTGGCATGTTTAATGAATTAAACAAGTAACCAATTGTTATATGAACATAAATGAACCCTAAGAGGCATGTTTAAGCTTCTGGAAGTGTTAAAAATATAACCTTGGAGGGATATCTTCGCGAAATGCAGAAACTGCATTCTGTCGCGAAATATCTGGATATTTGTCATGGAATATCCGGATATGGATATCCGGATATTGCCAGAGTGATATCCGGATATTGTCTGTGAGATATCTGGATATTGGATATCCGGATCTTTCCCGGAGGAATATCCAGATATTCTGGGTTTGTGAGGAACAGTGGCGTACTGTTCATCCAGAACTGATCTATGGGTTTGTGGACCCTAGTTTGAGGAAGTTGAACTTCTGTAATTAATTTATGTAAGTCAGAATCAAATGATTAAGGGCTTATGGCTTGGTGAGAAGCCTTAAGACGTAAAACATAATGGAAAGGCATTGTCTTAATATTGTATGCTTGCGGTGCATGTTATTGATATATTGTTGGTCCATAACAGATTGTGAATCTGCTGTGATTGAACTTTGAGCTGTGGACTCTTGGCTTTGGGTGTTAGCTTGCAAGGTAAACTTTCGTATCCTTGGTTTAGCCATGTTATGGTTCCACCATGTCCCATGGGGGTATGGTTATATGCATGTTGTGTTACATGCTTTGAGATATATTAATTGTTGTTGAGCTTTATGTGTTAATGGCTTTTAATATGCATGTGTTGTTCCATCTTGACGGAAAGCCTGAGTATGTGGCGTCATACAATACGGTGATCCGGGGTGGATACAAGCGGTGTCTTGTACTTATTGTGGGGTTGTAGACGTACGTCCTGCATTTCTCTGGCCAGTAGATTAGCATTGACACACATGACGTGATTATCTGCTGCATTGCACTGATTTAGAACTGATGATGATAAACTGCTTTTAAACTTATATGGTACATGTAAGTGAGCTTGGGGTGGGAGATCCTTGAGGACCCCTTGCCTTACTGAGATTTCTTGTTTAGAGATCTCACCCCATGTTTGGGGAATGCTTATTTCAGGTTCAGGTAGTATGGTGACTGATGCCTCTGGCGGCAGGAGGCCAGAGCTTAGCTGATTATGATATTTATGTTGTTTTGCTGCCATGACTGGATTGGATGTTGTTTATGTTTTCTGCTCTTTATGTTTTGAGTTGAGACTTATGTTGGGCTTTGTTACCTTATTTGGGTGAGCATGAGAGTTGTCTACGCCACTATGTGGTTAGTACTTTTGAGTCGAGTTGTATAAACTACTAGTGGTCCGGTCTACGTGTTGTAGTTCCGTGACTAGAGACATACATTATGTTAATTTAATTAATGAGGTATTTCAGTTAGCTATTTTATTGCAATTGCATATAGGCGATGTTTTATTAATTGATTAATAAGCAAGTTGGTAATGATAATGACATCATAATTGAAAAGAAATTGATATTCCGCATTTTTAATTAAGCGCAGCTTAATACGATAGTATGATAATATTACCGGATATATATATGCGGTGTTACAGTGTGAGCTTACATGTTTAAAATTGGTTGTTTGAATCAGACTTGGACTTGTATAAAAGCTTGTTTAATAAAAGGCCTCAGGCTCCAATTGAAAAGTTCGGCCTTAGAGCCTCTCAGGCTGGCCTAGTATATTAATTTTTATTTTTATTTTTATTTTTTATACTACTTGTAATAACGCTCTCTATCTCTCTTCAATCCATTTCGCTCTATTTTTTTTTTGTTAAATCGACTTTTTGAATGATTTTGTTCTATATTATGTTGTTTGGATATAGATTGAATTATGAATATATTTATGGAATTACTAGTGTTATTGATTGTATATTTGGATAAATTTTTGTTGTCTTATTTTTTTTAAACAGGCTAAACAAGGCTCTCTCTCTTTTGTAAATAGGTCAAGCCACATGCCGATAATTATATTCATAATAGGTAACAAACTTGGTCAGCCTGACACATTTAAACACAGACTTAGCCTCTTGAAACCAAAGCTCGGCTCGACTCAGCCCGTTAACACCCCTATTGAGGGTTATAGTTTCCATGTTATTTTTCCACTGTTTATGTTATTTTTAATACAAAAATCACACATTTTTATGTTACGAAAAATCGCGACTCATAGCTTGAATAACAATTTTTTAAACTTTCAAAAACTCCTAAAATTTGCTAAAAAAAATATGCTGTTTTTAGATGGATTATATTAGAATCTTGTTGGTTTGTTATTTTTTGATCGTTTTGTGATAAAAATCTATTACTTTTGAGCTTTGACGAAGCTCCCATGGCAAAACTCGATTTCGAGCGAGTCAACCTGCTAAAGAAAGAAGAAGACACTGCAATAGAAAAATTTTGGAAAATCATAAGAGGTTAGGGTGGGATTGTGAGAGAGACATTTTGTTTA